GGGCTATGTATATCTAAAGTCAATCATGGGCGTGTCGCTGCAACTGTCGGTATCCTTACTTGGTTCAAGATTCGTGATTTACCGACATTTACACCGCTAGAGGTTAAAGGTACCACGGGCATGGGTTTGACTGCTTGTCGCCTTCTGGATATATAACGGAGTAAGTAAATACGCTCACTATTTGAAATATGCCTATGCTGCAAAGCATTGTTTCACATTTATTACGCGAACGAAGCGAATCTACTACACCTGTTTATTACCTCAACGTTTTGTTCCACAAAGGAAAGACTGCTGTGTCACTTGCTGTACGATGATTCAGAAGTCGCAAAGAAAGCAGCCATAATAGTGGTGATAGATAAATTTTATGACAACAATAATTACTTGCAGTGTTCCTCTATTTTACTAACCTTTCGATACGACTTTTTCTATTTCTGATCGATCATTTTACACAAAGAAAAAGGTACAAAATATTTCAAATCCAATAACCGCGTTGGAAAGACTTAGACTGATTTTTCTAATAGACGTAACAATGGAATATTTACTTTCACACTCAAACGGTAGAATCTGATTGAGAGTTACTTCTTCAAAAAGAATTGAACCTTAGAGCGAGTGCTACAATGGACGATTGGCGTACACTGCATTTTGTCTACATTTACCATAGGTACCATCAATAACATATTCTTTACGATTACTATAACTATACACTTGTACAATAAAACACTAACCTCTGTTAACAGTAATACTCGATTATGACAAATTTTACCTGCACTATACGCAAAAGTGAGATTTAAAATTCAACCAACTTTCATAGATCAGAAGATGTACTGTGAGAACAAAATACAGCAACAAAATATTCAGGCTACTGATATTAATTATTTTTAGGTAGGTACCTAATTAAATAATTATTATCAAATTAAATAAACTTTGATTCAAACATTGGTCTAAATAACAGGAATTGGAAAGAGTTGCCACTTGACAATTTTTTTAAATTAATTAATAAATTAATTGATATGTGTTCAGAATCCTAAACGCATATAGATTTATAATTTTGATTACTTTGACTTAATGACATATTTAAAAATTATTACCACAATTTGTTTTTTTACCTACATTTATGTTATTTGTGAGACCGAAAAACTATTTCTGATTAGGTAATGTTCATATATTTTATTAACATATTTTAAAGAATAATTTTTATTGCCAGGTAATTAATGCAATTGCATTATTTTTGTTTATTCTCTAAATATAAATATTAATGATTTTTTTAATTACTTTTTGCCCTCGGTCGCAGTTGGCGTCACATGTACAATTTTGAAACAAACTGTTCCTTTTTATTTTCCTTTCTTTTGGTATGCGTGCAAAAAAGACTGCGATAAGACATTATAGAACCACGTTCATAGATTTTACGAATGCAATTTTAGTATCAGTAGATACTTGCTGGTGTCAGTATTATAGTTCCTATTTTCCCTTAGTTCTTAGCCCTACTAATACAGTGCAAGTGAACTGGTAAGTTATCAATAAAATTTACAACCTTTAATTTATTCCTTAGATACTATACCAATTTTTCATACAATTTTAATTACTAACAATTTCATTTTTATGTTAATTTGTCTCTTTTCTTGATTATTTTATTTACAAAAATTTTATTATTAACGTTTTTATATTTATATCAATTAATTTGCCTATTATATTTTATGAAAATAGAGAAAATATCTGTTTTGGGATTAATTAACTAAATTGGTCTCACTAGTTATGCCTGACGTGAATTATTGAAAACTTAACAAATGTTGTAGAAATATATGTAATAAATTTCCAGTCGATAATATACCTGTACCTATTCCAACGTAATTAAATCCGGTATCTCACCACACCTTGAGCTTTTAGATCGATTAATTAGATTAGCGGTTATTTATATTTAACTTCCGAATTTTCAAGCAGCGATTAATAAGCTCTACTTTCACCTGTACGAATTCTCCACAAAATAGCATAGCCTCATGAGAATACATTTTTTAATAGTATGCTCTTATTATTACACAAATGCCGCAGAGTATTAAAAACATTGATTGAAGCGTTTCCATAACTAATTAAAATATTTTGAGATTGTATTGTATTATGTATTTTATTGTAAAATATATCAATTTGACACTTTAGAATGTACAGGGTAATAAGTGAAAAATAGACTATATTTTATTAAATGCCATAAACATATACAGGGTGATTTCTCTTTTAATTTTAGCTCAGCAAATTTGTTTACTTTAATTCATTTTCAGGTTTTACTGGTACCAGAGACCATACCCTTGAAAGCTCTCCAGGCAAAATAATCCAATGGGTTTAAGTCGGGTGAACGAGGTGAGTAACTTTTAATTCCTGCACAACATTTCTCTTTTTATTTTTTATTGGTGGATTTAATGCTGTGCATAATTATTTCTACATATCCTCTAACTAAATCACTCTCCACAAAAACATGTGGCTAATAAACGGTTCAATTTTGTATGTAAAGCGTGGGTTCCACATTTCTGTTGGAGGAGTGAAATGGTTGAATTAAAATACCACCAATTTAAAGAACTCTCCTCATTTCCGAGTTGTACCAAATTTCATTCGATTTCGTTCAATAGATTTCTGTGGTTTGTCAGCAGATATTTACTTTTTTCAAAAAACTGACGCCTTGCATTTCGAAAACTTGCTTCTGTGATAAAAGTTTATAGAGCAAAGTAAATATATCTGTCAATAAGGAATCTACTCCAAATTGGGAACGATATTGCGTTAAAATACCATTAAATTGTGTAAAAATATGCAGGATATTCTATTAACACAAAGTTAACTTCACCAAATCACTTCCTGAACTGATTTCTAATTCATAAAACTGCGGTTTATTAAAGTTTACCACTCTAATGAGACACTCGTAACCTATTTGTTCTTTAATGGTACCTACATGGAAAGAAATGTGTTTACTCTCTATAGATTTAGCTATTTTAGTATCTTGTTTTTCCACTATACTATCCCTCAAAGTAACAAGTTGAACATAACGAGGGCTCGTCAGACAGACACTCCTACAATTATCGATTACTTCCCAGAGGTTGTTTACATTCTATTAAATTATTCAAGAGAAATGGATTACTGACACATCTATTATTCTTTATTAAGGAATATTTCTGGACAAGCAGTGGGAATTTTTACCTCTAGATGGATAGCATCCCGGAATATGAAATGAGAATTATCATTTCAAAGAGGAATGAAGAAAACTAAGATCATATAGGAAAATGGTACTAGAGAAAATGTGCCAAAATAGAAACGTTAGTAATTTTTAAAATTGGTTAATTAAATGACACTTCAGACATCTTTATGAAAAAATACAATTTTCCTCGAATTATTTTATATATTAATAAACATTAGTCAGTTAACCAAAAGTTCTTATAAATTAAAAAACAATCGCATTGGATTGCAAACACTGTTCTTGAAAATACATAATAGCATTTTAATATAAAATTATTTTGTAGGGGACAACATGCATTTCTTTAAAATATTGTTTTTATAATTGTAATTATAAGTGACTGAGTGTTTTTGACTGAAATTATTAACTATCCGAAAGAAACAATATCTGTTTCTAAAAAAACATCATTGCTGATTGAATGTTTCTTTAAAAGACAAATTTTGTTTAATATCACAGTATGTACAACATGGTTAATTTAATACAACCGTTTGTTCATTTATATTCAGTGTCATTTGGACGCTAATTCACATAAATTAGAAAAAAATATCCGATTATAAAACTATATATAAAGCTTACCTCATACGAATATTTATATACTCCACTTATTTTTGAAAAAACTTCCAAGGCTTCTGATGTAGCTTCAGAACAATCACCACAATACATGTTTTCTAATTATTATTTAAACAATCTAATTTTACACTTCAAAGCTGTCAGGCTATATCACTATTTGGATTATTATCGGATTCGCACAGCGATAACTATTAACCGAAATTAATTATATATAACCAAATGCCACATGAGGTTTATGGCGAACAGGTAGCACCAAACCATGTGTCGGAAATAACTTGATTTCAATTTGGCACTGATGATTTACTAAAACAGGGTGAACATATCACAAGTAAAAATAGATCATCTGTGACGTAAATAAACAAATAACCTTTCGGGACGTCCAGAGAATAACTGTGTTCTTAATTGCAGCGGTAATTGTTTTTCAACATGTCTATGACCGATAAATAGTAACATTTTTAGTAAAATGTTTATCGCTGATGCATTAGAATGTAGAATTTGGGCAGCGCAAAAATCTAATATGTAGCTACAATACTGTAATATCGCCAAACTATAAAACTTGTTATTTGTGATGCTGATATCAGTGGAATTTCTCGAGCAAAATTAATAGGTTGGCATTGCGCTGCATTGCAGAAAGACGGAAAGAAAACTTTCATTCACATTTACGTTGAATGAAAATAATATTAATAAAAGGGCTAACACTACATTGATATTAATAGTGCAGGATAAATAAGTATTTCACGATTACTATTATTAATTTTCCTAAAAAAAGAAAAAACCGTGGCGACCCCATTGTCAAAATAACTAATATAACAATAATACTGAGAAACGTGCATTTAAATTTCATACACAGTTTTAAATAGAATGACTTTTGTGACATCTATAGGATGATAGCAAGCAGAATCTCTCCATTAGCATACTGCACCAACTAACAGACTATGTCTTGAGGATAGATAGCGACACTTTCTGTAAAACTCTTAATATGCACCAATGAACCCTTTACCTATAAATACACAAAAATATATAATATTTTATTAAGAAATTATTTTTACTATTTACAATAGTTTGTGTTTTATATACTTATTCTAAATTATAGTTTGAAATCATGGATTTCAGTAATATATTAATATTAATTAAAATATTAGGAAAACAAATTGGAGAAGGAAAACTTGATTAACCATACAATTAATTATGATCAGTAAAGTAACATTCATTATTTTTAAAAAAATCCGCCGAATAATTTTTCGTAAAATGCAATAATAACAACAAAAAATAAATATTAACTGACATATTGTTTGAATACAGAGAACTGCTTCTATTCATTGCTTCTTCTTCTTGTGAAGTCTGCGCAAAATCCACTTAGGTATCCTTTTAGCAATTTCGGCCTGCAGCTGTCGATACACCATCACCAACAAGACTGGCAGAGCTAATAATTCGTTGTTAAATAAATACAACCAACAGGCAACTATAAACATGGCCAAATCTGTCACGTAGTCGAGCGCCGTACGTACTTTTACTTCAGCTCGTGCCATGAGCTCTTCCTGTTTCTGGGTTCTACCAGACGGTGAAGAAGTCCTTGACCAAGAGTCGCTGTCAAGTGATTCCAGCCCTACAGACGTTTGAGTCATGATCTCACGTAACATTGGCCTGCGCTTCTGTTCTGGTATTGGAAGAGTTGTAGGGTTTGTTCGAAATGGAGAAGGTGAAGTTTTCCTTTCTCTACGCATAGGGGATTGTGATGTTTTTCGTACTCTCTCTTTGGGCAAAGGAGAGGGCGATGTTTTTCTTACTCTGTCTTTAGACAAAGGCGAGGGTGATGTTTTCCGTCTTCTTTCTTTAGGTAGAGGAGAAGGTGACGTCTTTCTTACTCTGTCCTTGGGCAAAGGAGAAGGAGACGTTTTTCTACCAACTTCTCGGCGCATGGGTGATGGTGATGTTTTCCGTCGTGGTTTCTCTACTTTTTTATTACTAGATTTTAGGGTGCTCCAGTTTTCTGCTCGGACTGGCGAGATGGATAAATTTGATCTGCTTGGTGACTTTCTCGGAGACGTTTCTCTATGAACCATTTGCTTAGGTGGCGATTTTGACAAAGTTCGTTCACGTTTTCTTTCAGGGGAAACTTTTTGATTTCTTGATGGTTCATGAACGGTTTTCAAATTCTCTTTGCTTGATTTATTTTCAATTACTTCAGTTGGTTTGTCATTATAACTATTATTAAAGCTATGAGTTGGTGAAGTACTCTCTATTTGTGGATCAGGAGCTTCGAAAATAGCTTGTGGGGTTTCAACATCTTCAGCTAGTTTTTTTAAAGAATCTCTGTCTAAATGTATTTGGGGATTACTCCTCTTCCTCTTTCCATAGTTTTTAACTATGTCCCCATAATGATCTATTACTACCTTCGCTTCCTCTTCATCTTTCTTTCTATCCAAAAGTTTTTCTGGAATAATAACGCCTGCTGCTGCAATCCCTGATATTTGCGCTACTGCGGAAATGCTGTAACCAGGTGCAACTTTATTTACACTTTCCGGAAGAATGAAGTCCTCTGGAATTTCCAGTTGCTTCGATAGTAGTTCTTTTTGTGGTAAAAGAGAAAATGATCTAGGTCTAGGTGTTGTCGGTATACTTGGTTGAAATTTATTTCTTACTGTTTTGATATCAGCTTCGCCATCAACTAAAGAGTATGATCGTTCCTTTTTTAACAGATTCGTAATATTTTGAGGAATAGGAGAGTGTGAGCGTTTCTTTGGTTTTTCTTCTACTTCTTGTACATATAGAGAAGGGATTAATTTGTTTTCATTAAGTTCTTCCTCGTAATCTGTTTTCTTTAATATAGGTTTAGGAATAAAATTTGGATCTGGAGGTTCTTTCCTTTTAGTTAATATCTCGAAAGGTTCCGATCTCATCCCAGGGTGATAAGTATCTACTTCGTCTTCATCTTCGTACGAAATTCGCCTAGACAGTTTTTCTCTGAACAGCTTTTCATCTTCTGACGATGGCACCCTGTCCTCTTCAGACGACTCAGAATCTTCTTCGGTACTGGAAACGTAATCTTCTGCCCATTTGTCTTCTTCGGCTATAGAAATTTTCTTTTTCTTATTCATTATTTCTCTTTTCATATCACTTGTAAATGGGAATTTGTGGAGACCGGTCTGCAAAATGTCCCCTTTCATTTCACCAGAACTTCTTAAACTATGTCTTCGTTGCGCCCAAAGTGTTTGTTGATGGCTAATCCCTCCTGCCGACATTCTCCTTCTTAAAGAATGTTGGCGATCGAGCCCAACTATGTCTTGGTCATCTTTAGAGTTGATGAGTATTTTAGGAACATCCATTGTGTGCGACTTATTCTCCTTAGCCTTTCTTTTCCTCTCCAACTCTGCTTCTTCCGCTTCCGCTGCTTGGTAGAATCGCATCATAGCTCTTTCATGTAAAAGTTCTGTGGAACTTGCTGAACTCTTTAATCCGTTAAATAAGGGCGGTTCAGCCCCTAATTCTGGAGCAGAAAGTGACATTGGGGGAGGTACTGAAATGTCGTCAAAATCAAAATCCGATTGACCTAAAACAAGATACATTTTGTTTATTTGCGGTATAGTTTTAGTTTTTTCTCTGTTTATTGGTTATTTTGTCAATGGTGAAAAAAGTGTTAAAATTGTTCAAATAAACCCTTCGTCCATTCATATAAGCTAAGCTGTGTTACTACTTGTCCTAACCATAAATCTAAACGACAAAAGATAAAAAATAAAATACCCAAATAAACGGCGACAAGTTACTTAAATATTATCAGTTCTTATTTCATATTGAAATCTTTAAAGTGTTTAAAACTCGAATTATTTAAATGTAGGTAATCGAAAAAAATACCTTTTTCATGTTCATCTGAGTAGAGGACCAACATAAATTCTGAACTTCCAGTAAAATTTTCATTGTTCTCCCTTGGAGATTTAATTTTACGTATGTCTGGACTTGGCGATCTGCTCGCATTACTTGGTGGTGGCGGTGGTGGTGATGGTGGCTCAATCTTGACTGCGTATACCTTGTGGTTAAACTGCTCTTCTGCCGCTGGACTAGGCGTTCTTGATTTGTCCGAGCTACTAGAGAGACTACTAAGATAGTTCGGTGCCAAGTCCGAATCCCATCTCATTTTGATATCAGGACTGCCGTATGCCAATTCTCTGGCCATTGAAGATCTATCGGACAGTTCGAAAATCTTTTTGTTTACCTGCGCTTCAACTTGCTTTCTAGTTATCAGGGGAGATGCTTCAGGAGTCTTTGGAGGACTCTTAATCTTACTTCTTTCAGGCCTTACAGGGACACCGGAATTTGGTATGTTCGAAATAACGTCCGGTTCACGGTAACCGTGTTCAACTCTCGATGATGACTGAGAACGAGGTTTATTCTTTCTCCGTGTTGCTATTGGGGTAGTAACTTCCTGCAGTATGTCTTTCGGCTGACTTCTACCTCTGGATTGTGGTAGTAAAATACCTCTCTTTGGATCCGGTATGAAGACAACTTCGGATTCTTCACTTGGATCGCTGACTCCATAGGGACTTTCTGCTTTGATTCTGAATTTGTATTCGCTGCCTTCTATCAAATCTCCCAGCATAGTCGTGAGTTGTCTGCTTGTTGCTGCTTTTAACCATACATTCCATCCGAGTCTGTAGTACTCAACTATGTAATTACCAATTTTGCAGCCACCGTCGTCTTCTGGTGAACCCCATGACAGTGTAACAGATCTACCAAGTGCCATCACCACTCTCGCTCGACTCGGTGGGGACGGTTTATCTGTAACTGTCACCAAAAATGATTGTGTGTCTTCCCCTAACTTATTCACAGCCTTGATTTGGTATTCTCCTCTGTCGTTTCTATGCGCTTCGTTCACTTTTAAAACTGACGACTTGTCAACATACTCAACTTCATATCGGTCGTTATTTTTTATAGATTCTCCGTTATGGCTCCAAAAAACTAACGGAGTCGGACGTCCAGCCACTGACACTTTTAATCGTATTAATTCGCCTATTTCGAAAAGCAAGCCGTCTTCATACTGCCTGGGAAGCCTTATGCTAGGAGGGGCTTCTACAGCTAACGCAGCTTTCGTCGAAACATGCCCAGCGCGGTTTGTTGCAGTACATTTTATTTCTCCTTCGTCAGACAGAGAGGTTTGGTGTACAGTCAGAACGCTTCTGTCGCTCTCTGTTAGGATCCTTATTCTTCGACTGCTGAATATCTCGAATCCATCCTTAAACCAGCACACTTTCGGGGCGGGTTGGCCAAGGAAGTGGACGACAAATTCGATTTTTTCGTTTTCTAAAGCAACTTTGTCTTCAAGTTCTTGGGTGAAGCGAGGAGCAGTTACGGCAGACCTTTGCAGTGTTACTGTTATCGGTTCGGAAAGTTCGCTGGGATCGGACATACCCACGGCATTTTCGGCGCTTACCCTGAATTGGTACCTCCATCCCGGTTCTAGTCCACTTATAGTTACTTCCGAGATCTGAACAAGCAGTGGAGCGGCGCGAACCCAGTGCGGAGACCCTGCTCTGCGATGTTCGACCAGATAGCCAGATATTGGTGAACCTCCATCACTAGCGGGTGGTGTCCAGCAGATGGTGACCAAGTCAGGTGTAGCTTCTGTCTCGGACACTAGCTGCGGCTTGCCGGGTCTTTGAGGACGGGCTAAAATATTTTATAGTTAATAATTGCGTCGGATAAGTTTTCAGCTGCATTGCCAGCAGAAAGATAATATTTAAATAGAGGGATTAGCACTCGTGTTGTCTCCTTGATAAGAGGTATGTCCAGAAAATAACCAAACTTTTTGAATTTCGCAATAATGGAGATATACAGGGTGTTGTTAAATGAAGTAGCAAAAATGATACCAGTGAACGTAGAGCCAAAAATAAGAGGATTGAAGTAAAAATACCTTATATGAAAGTTGCACCCCTGAGGCAATATACCCTTTTAAAGGAGAGGATTGAAATTCACATTTTTTTTTCTTTAACATGAGGAATGCTAGAGACACGAAACAACTTGGGATGAGCATCTTATTAATAAAGAAACAACTTTTCAATATGTGTTCGATCATTGGCGTATTTTAAAAAAGAATGAAACAGTCAACCCCATTGCAATATTTTATTAGAAATTCTTTATATGAAGCAAATTATTTATTTAAAAATATTTATTAGGACCTCTTGTAATTTTTCGATAAAACCGATAGTTTTCTGGTAAAAAAAATAGATGCGTCATCGTTTACTAAAGGGGTAATTGCAAAAATTTGTAAAAATAAAGTAGGCGGATGTCATAACAAATAAATTGTGATTTATCATATTAATAAATTGACACAAAAAAGAGACCAGAGTTTTTGCGAGACAAATCATGGTTATGTCACCATGACAATGTGCCCGCGCACTCAGTTTTGTCAATTCGTCCATTCCTTTAAAGGCCATTTCAAATGAAACTATCCTTGACTGTTTCGAGAAATGGAAACACCGCTAAGAAAAGTGTGTGAATGGGGGGGGGGTAATATTTTGAACGAAATAAGAACAAATAATGTATATAATTAATAATAAAATTTCAAAAAATAAAATTCGGTTATTTTATCAACAGACCTCGTATCTACACATTATGTAATCTTAATGTAATAATAATCAAAACCAAGGACCAAGTTTATTCGTATTTTAAATAATTATGTAAGTATCTAAAATATGTCTTCTAAAGACAGAAAAAATTATTAAAAGGTATGATATTCCACAGAACTTGTAAGAATGTATTTTTTTATTATAATATTAGACATTTTTTTGCATAAGTACCTACTTAATTTATTTTATTAAAGAATATTCTTCGACTTCATTCTATAGGATATTTAGAAGAATTTGAATTTGCTTGGTACCTACCTTTAAAATAAATTAAATTTGCGAAAATGTAGCTCATATTTGAAGATAATAATTTTAGTAAAAAAAAAAATTAATTTGTATGCATTGTATAACAATTCATTTTCTATAAAAAGCTTGCAAAATAAAACATCTACAATTCCAAAACTTTATGAAAAATCTTATGACATGAGTTAATCACACATAGTCAATATTTACATTGTCTGACTAACTGCTCTTGCAAAAAATATTCTATAATTAGGTTATATTAAAGTGAATATTCCACAAGAAAAATCAAATGTCTAAAAATGAACTGACGTTCATACAAATTTAACTATGTCTTCTTCTATAAATAAGATTGGGCATCATTTTTATTTATACGCTCACGAAACATTAACCTTAAAAAATAGTGGATCAGATCTAATCTGTAAACAAAGTTTTATTTGTAGTCTTTATTAAAAGTGACCAAACGTGTTGTCGTAAAATTGTTCGTGTTTGTTATGGTTACAAGAACAAAGAGTTTTGCCTTTATAGGATTATGGTGTACGTATAGAAGTAGGAAAGCTACGATTGTTAAAAAACTGCAGAAGGGTCATGCTGATGTGTGAATAGTTGTTGGTAACTGTCACAACAATTAAATAAAAATCATGCCAGCTACTAACCTAAGTCGAAACTAGGTAGCCTTGCATCTCCAAAGCATTTGATTAAGGATCCTGCCCAAAATACAAAATGCCAAATAAAAAAAATAAAAATATCATTGGATAATAATTATGTTCGAAATATAGCCCTAACAAAATTATTAATATAACGACATACGATTTGTATAGAGTATAATTATAATGCTTGCTCAAGATTTAATGGTTTTGCTTCACAAATTAACAAAAAATTGCCTACTAGGGTCTCCAAAGTTAATGAAAACATATACAGGGTGTCCTAAAGTTATTTTTGTAGGTATCATCTCGGAAATGGGTGGAGATGTAAAAAAAATCTTTACAGAAAAGTTGCATGGTTTTACAAAAATCCTAGAATCATTTTATTACATAATCCCCAAGGTAACTAATAAAATTGTGCGACTGAGTGACTTCATTTCTTCTTCATTTTTCTGTAAATTTGACTTCCTGTATATTTTGCGATTTTACGATTATTTGTAAAACTTCAAGTCACTTTGTATTACATTACCCATACCTAAATACAGTGGTTTCGGAGGTAATTGATGTTAACATTTTTTTAAATTTTATGGTTTTAAAAGTTCTCAAAAATAAACGCAATTCTCGGTGTGTGTTCCTGTCCTTTAAATTGAAAGACAAAGGAAGTCGTTTACCTAAAATCATTTGATGTATTGATACAATTTATTTGGTATTTGGTTGGAGACTTTTCGCCTTCTTCCCATCGAACATTGAGATATGTTGAACAGCAAAATGATTCTATTCCAAGAGCAAAGAATGCTCGTCATAAGCGAATAACTAGAAATGAGGTAAATTCTGTGAATGCAATTGCTGCCATTGAAATAAATCTATTACATACAACTCAGTTTGAAAAGTTGCTGAAGAAGTTGGTATTAGCAAAAATATGAACAAAGAATTTTTGTCCACAATAGATTAATTCATAATGTACATAATAGAATATTTATGATATGTTTAATGAAAAGTGGATGGATTTTTTCCTGTTGGGACATTTATAACCAGTGATTTATGACATTATGCCTAACAGATAACAGAATATTTATGGAATAGGTACTCGTATAATAATTGAAATATGTACAAGACAGATAGGAGTTGTATCAAGTCAAAAATAGTCTTCATTTTGAACAGTATTTATAATTTTTATTTAAAAATATGTTATAATTTTTTTTAATTTTTAAATTTTTGTAATACATCAGTTATCCCCAAAACCACTACGTTAGCTATAGAGAATGCAACACAAAGTGACCCTTACATTTTACGTAGAATTTTAAAAAAAGACAGAGAATACACAGGGTGTCTCATCTAAAAAATACACTTTATTTGTCACTCTTTGTGGCTTTTCTAAAACCATACAACATTTGTATAGAGAACTTTTTTGCATCTCCAACCATTTCCGAGATTCTTCACGATAAGTGGCCTCTTAAACGTTTCAGAGGAACCAAATACAATATGACTCTGAAATTTTGCTTACAGGGGTTATAAGATATGTTCTCTTCAATGAAAATAATCTGAAAAAATTGAAACTGTGACACCAATAATACATAGGGTGTTCCATTTAAAATAACGAAGTTGACAGCTACTTCCGGTATAAACGTTGATGGCATTATTTTCATTGAAGAGAACACATATGATACCTCCAGTAAACAAAATCTCAGAATCATATTGTTTTTGGTTCCTCTAAAACGTTTAATAGGCCACTTATCATGAAGAACCCTGTATATAGTTAATTTGCAGTTAAATAAAAAATATTTACACGAGTATAGAAGTTACTTAAATCCATTACTTAGATAACTTGATTATTTTGAGTAATATGTAGTTATTTTTATTTAAAAAATAGTTTTATGTTCGCACATGGAAGTAAGTTCTTGTATGTAACCGACCTATATCAAATATACTCGTTTGTGAACAATTAAAAATGAATGCAAAATTTAAAAGAAATAACGAACTATTATTTTTCGAAATGTAAAAATTAAATTTAATACTTTCTTCGGACTTTAAACAGTGATCTTCCAGACACATTTTGAATTAGGACTTTTTTGTTCAAATTTGAACGAGCAGTAATCTCTAAGTAATAGAGAAATTATAAATGCTATCTTTTACCTTTTTAAAACACAAAACAAGAAATATATACTATTCAAATACGTAGGTAAGAAGTAAAATAAATTTAAGACTTGTTAAAGTTAGATTTAAAATAAAATTTTGATACATCCACATCCACATATTGTAACATTTTTTTTATTTTTTGGATAAAATATTCTTACCTACCTTTCGTAATGACAAACTGAAAAATTACATTATATAAAAATATACCGAGTATTTACTTATATAATTCTTGTTTTAATAGGTACTTAAATGCTTGGAATAACTCTGCCCGTATGTTAGGGACTTAAAATAGAACTACTACTTTTTTTAAGTACAAACTTACCGATTGACGACGCCTGATACGATCATTTGATAAAATAATAATAATAACCGTGAAACCAGTGCGATGCGAGTTATGCAGATAAAAATATAAGCCAACACACTAACCCAAAGCATCCCAAAATAACACTGGGTCCACTACAAATCCGTAATGACGAACGGCTGTTCAAAACTTAATCAACCAATCAAACTCTCAAAATTAAGCAATCAGTCAAACATTACCTGCGGCTTTCCAGTGTACTTGCTTCTTATTTCGGGTGCGGGGATGGGGTTTGACATGTGCGTTCCCCATAGCACACTGCCATGTCACACGAAATAGCCGCAGAGAGACTCAGCCCAGCGCGTATATTTAGAACTACTGTGCCAACATCCACAAAGGAAAATGTTGTACTGAGATTATAAACGAAAATCGAATTAAATGCATCGGCATTGGACGCGTTTTCTTCATTCTTAACGAAATTTGCCCAACGGGAGCAAAATGTACGGGTAGTTCATGATTTTAGAGGAATAAGATGCACATAAAGCGTTGACAAATTGCTTCGACGCGGTGATGAAGGAGTCTTTGTTGTTCTATTTATATTCAATTTGTCTGAATCAGATTGTTCGTTACATTGTTGTACAGGCCTTCGGATATAGTTCACCGAATAAACAATTGGGTACTGATTCTAGATCTCGAGGAATGTTTTTACAGCTGCGTAGTCGGCCATATGTTGGCAAGTTGCGCATCTAAATTTGGTTTATAAATAAATCGTCTAGACCTGATGAATTTTTGAGATGGTTTGAAATTGTAGGTAAAGTAGAGGTGCAGGAGTTCATATCAAATCTTCTCAGTCAAACCGTCAAATCTTTGTTTGAGTTACGAAGTATGACTGGTTGCATGAAATCGAACTTTTCTTATTTATTTTTTTTGACTGAAACACAGCTGTTACTACTGAAGTAAAACATTCCATTACAACTAAGACTCTATAGAAAAGAAATTCCATTCCCACTGCAAAAGAAACTAAATATAATTTGGCCAAGAAAGTTAATTTCCGGACCTCGATATTAGAAACTGTGGTGAATATCTATATAGGAGATCAACATCGTCTTATTTTCGGTTATCCTATAATAATAAGGTCCTCAGATGTAATTCATTATCATTTTTTAACTACACTTCTATGTTTGTTGGAAAAAAGAACCATTTTGTATATTATTATGGTCAAATTGTTTGTATAATACAGCAATCTCCTTATAAATTGAAAAAAGTGTTATAAATCAAAACAGAAAGGGAAGCACCTACTTAGTGGGACAATATATTATGTTTGTATCCAATCATGGGTGGTTATAATTGAATAATTATCTTAAACATAGTCAATTCTCTATGTGATGCCACTGAAGATATCAAGAGTCCTATTCTTAATAATCATAGATGATGTTGCGAAGAGAAGGAAGAAAACCATAAGAACAAGAAAATAGGAACTTGAGAAATGATCCAGTTTGTACACGAGTAAAAGTAGATCTATTGTAATAGCTGCCAAAGATAAGAAATAGAAGTTCTACATAGAACGTTCTTTTTTTGGAAGAAAAAAGTACAGAAAAATAATTTCTTCAGACCTACTTTATTATATGGTGGTGAATCCTGAGCATAAACCATAGGAAAAAAGGCAGAATTACAGTCATCAAAAATGAGATACGTACCTACTTAAGAAAGATGGAGGAAATTGTGGAAAGGGACAAAATAAGAAATGCAGTAACAAATAGCAGCAAAGTACATGAGAAAGGAAAAAAAATGGCTTGATTAGAAGCATATTTATGGAACAAAACATCAAGAACAATATACGAAGTGGAAGAAAGTAAGAAGACCCAAAAATTGAAGGGAAGAACAAGTAAATGCAAGGAAAACGGAAAACAATGAGTAAATAGAACGGGTCAGACAGTCATCTCGAGACAGAAATGCACAGAAACGAAAAATAAAAGAAAAAACGAAGTAATAAATATTATAATTTCCAAACTTTATCTGTTAAACATCTAACACTAAAAGAATTTACAGATTAAATAAATAAATAAGTAAATAAACACATTCCAAATTCACGTCGTGTTAAATATTCATTGTGCATCAATCATTTGAGAGAACTTGAAAGTTTCTGCAAATCCGTTAACTGTACAGAAAATTGACTAAAAACATGTAACTTATAAAGTAATTTAAAATAAATTTGTTAGGGCACAAAATTATTTGTACCGTGGCTCATATACTTGGTGGTACTTCCTTAACCGAAGGTAGTAATCTTTGACCTGCCCTTGTTGTTCTTGGGCTGGACTCTGTGTGGGCGGACCTGCTATCAGAACCCCTAGCAGATTTTGTGATTTGAATGTTGGTTCTCTGAAACTTCCAAACGTTTCACTGTTTTTCACTGTCGACATCTTTAGTGGTGAAATTTATTAAATAAACAGTACTGCACAAAATTTAGAGGTACCTACCGATATTTTTTTTAATTAAAAAATTAAAATAAACCATTTTTCTTTAATATAGACAATGATTTTATTATTAGTATTGTTAGCATTATTTGTATATTTATGATTTTTCATACTTTAAATTGAGTTTGATTCGAGTTTTGTTAAATATATTTTGTTATAACTTTTAATTAAAACTTTTAAAAACGAACAAAACCATGTATGTGTAGTTGCATAAGAGCGTAGGTTATCTAATATATTATTATGATTACTGCTGAACTTGTTAGGCAACACAAAATACAAACAAATAGCATGGGAATATCTGTACTGACCTAAAGAAATATATAATTCATTTTTTACTTAGGTGATCTAGTTACCTACTTTTATCTCAGAACTGCAATCCTTCTAATTTATTATTATTATTTTTTTTGGGAAATTGAAATTTTAAGTCATCATTCCTCTTTCAACAGATGATGAACAAACAGAAAAATTAGAGATGATTTTTTTCCCGTCAAGAGCAAATTTGACAATGCTTTTTCTGTAAAGTGTCAAATATTATCAAAATAAATTATTTTCAGTGGGCACAAATATATTTAGTAAAAAAACTTAAACTGTGAAGAAGTGGGTAGATTTCATTATAAATGTCTAAAAATATTCAAAACCAATTATCATGCGCTACATTTTGCCTGACGGCAACTTGGTTTTATGAGATATTTTTTAAAAATCAGCTAGCCCGTACATTGAAAAATAAATAAAAACGTGGCAAACACCATAGCAACCGTTGTTTATGTCAAATAGAAGTTCTGAATTTGAGAGAAAAACATTTTAGAAGCAATTTGAACTGTTTCTCCTAAATAATCCACGACTACAACGAGTTAATATTACAGTGCACAGTATAATAATGTGGAAAGTACTATTCGCAAGCGCGGTATTTTTTAACTTGAGCCAAGCCGCGCCAATTGACGCCACTGTCGAAAATTTCGCCATAGCTGACCACTTCCAAGAAATAATTTCGGTAATACCGAAGGACTTGATCAAGAACATTACTTACGAACACCTAAAGACCGACGAAGCATTTAAATCAGCTGTGCAATTCATGCAAACTGATGAGTGGAACAACAGAGTGAAAATAATAAGAGAAAAACCAGAATGGATTGCACTCAAGAAGTACATGACAGGTTTTGGAATACACATAGACAAATTCATAAAATGCGCAGACGGATTCCTTCAAAACGTCACGGTGAAGCTTGATCCAATGCACCCTCCGTCTAAGAAAAGCGTGAGAGCTTTCCTAACTGACATCGAAAGAAACTTGCCAATTGCGAAAATATTAAGTATCATTCATGAAAAAATGGTAAAGAATTCGGAGCTGCAACAGTTGTTTGAGAAAATGTCGAGCGATGACACTCGCAAGATGATAGATAATGTGCTTGCTTTGTCAGAAATTAGGAGCATGTTGAAGGATTTGGCAGAAATGGACATGGATATAACAGAAATGCTTTCTTTGATCTACGCATTTCTGGGATGGGGCGAGTTGAAGTTGCAGTAATTGTTATATTTTATAATTTTTTATATTTATTGTCTAATTATAGATTAACCAATATGCATTGGTATTTTGTATTTGTTAATAAAGTATTTTATTTAATAAAGTTCACGACAATATAGCTCTTTAAACTTTTAAGACACCTTATATAGCTATAAAAGAACTAACAAAAAGCAAATTTAATATTCTTAAGTGGATAATAGTCCAATTAACTAAGTCTTTAAATCGAAATTTTGTCAACTTGGCTGAATTTTTGATATGAGTTAGTTTAAGGTATATTATAACAATAAGTGACAGTAATTTTTTGTTCAACCCCCGGCCAAGGATGGAAAAAGATAAAACAAAGGGCTTTTTCAAGATAACTCAAAAAGGGTAAGAGCTAGAAAAAAAACGACAATTCTACATAAAAATGGCCTCTTAACTTTTTCTTGTACTATTACAATTAACAGAGTTAGGGAGGCTAGAAGTTAAGGGAAGATTTCAGAAATTTAAAAAAAATCATAACAA